TACAGCGACGCTCGTGCTTCCATATCCGAGCACGAATCAAATGTGGCATTGTGAAATGACAATTCACCTTGACAAAAGATACGACTCTGTAAACTGGGCTTTGCAAGCCAAATTTTCGAACCTTGACCAGGCCCGGCGAGCAGCAATGGGCAGTGGGTCCTCGGAATCTTCATTCAAGTTGTGTTTTTTTATCTCTCTGTCTCTATTTGAGATTACCATATCACCAAAAGCTGATCGCCGACACTCCCACAATCTACATGGCGTCAAATAATTGGAAACAGTGCGCACAAAAATTAAAGGTGGACCTTCAAGGTCCGAATTTCCGTGCACTCATCAGCGTCGGTTTTTTCGCACGCTACAGTGCCGCCGAAACATGTGAATTGTAAGACTCATACCAAACTATGCTTCAAAATCGCTGGCGCTCTCTGAGCTTGTTGGAGGAGCATGACGCATGTCTTTCTGTGCACCCAAGGAGATTGAGAGCAAAGAAAGCATGAAACTTTTTTCGTCTGGATGCGGAAATACTGTCGGATCGTGCGCGCAGATTTGGGTACACGTTAAAAACCCAAAATGGTTGAAATATCTGGAGCTCTCCACTATACGGCGTCTCTCATATACATATGGTGGTTTTGGGATGTTAAACCCAACGTATCAACCATCAATAAACCTTCTTTCTCGAATGTGCGAAATGTACACTTTTCAATTTGCGTTTGACTTGTGGTTACAACTGCGCTGGTTAAAGGCAGTGATGCCGCAACGTTGAGCTCCCGGATCATCGAACTAACATATCTAAAATGAGTGAGTTTTACATGCACACTGTAGATCTTGTACTGTGATGGCCACGTCCGATCCTGTTTACCCTTAGTGCTCAGTTGTGTGTAGGAGTAGAAATCAGTAAACCCCCACGATTACTGAACCGGAGTTGATTGGTGGGTTGAAGAGCACCTGTGTGTCAAAACCGTCAACTGCTTTTTCTAAGACAAATCTTTTTTTTTTACATCACGATATGAGTTTGGCGCGTATGGCGCACGCATGATGTCTCACGGGTTTTCTTCTTTTTTTCTTCTTTTTCCCAGATAATCTGTTCGGGCTATCCAAATAAATTATTCTTGTGAATCAGAGTTCCTGTGTGTCAGGCATGTTCAATCTCCTCGTCATCGATGCATTTAGCCTATGTCCTTTTCAATAGCTTTGTTATCAATTGTGATATCTCTCTTCGAGTAGTGAAGTTGAACAAAACGCAGTAGAAATTACAATTAGAAACATTTTATTTGTATCCTTATTCTTATTCATTCTTCTTTGTTTTATCCTTATCTCAATTCTAATACCTTGAGTATTAGTTATTTCTTCTTTCTATAACGAAAGCTGTCATGACATTCGAACAGCCGATCTTGTTGCCATAGTTTCTGGCCGCCACCACCGCCGCTGTCGTTGTCCGTAACAGCTATCGCACGAAATAGAAAAAAACAAAATCAGTAGAAAAAACAAATATTCAAGTTCGGGCAGGATTTTTACTCTAGACAGTTGCATGGCAGTGAAGTATTTCACCACCAAGCCTCGCCCATGCTTCAAGCGCTTTTGAAAGAAGGACCCTGCTCAGGCGTCATGTCAAAAGGCAAAGGGTCACGTAACCAATGCAATATGGCGTGGTAGAAGAGTACATTAACAACCAGGCTTCACAAAACACGAATCGTGATATGACTGTATGGTGCACTCACTACAAAGGGCTCAATCATAGTTCTTCACCGAGCTCAGCCCCAGGATCATCAAAGTTCACATAATTTTTTAAAGATATGAAGTGGGTACCTCACCTCTCCCCAGAATAACGAATATTGACATAATGGGTGCTTCTTTAGGTTAAAATATAATGACAATTTTTAGCGTAGTGGACACCCTGCAAGTGTAGTTGCACTAGTAGCGCCAAGAGAATTTATACGACGGGCTCAAGAAAAGACAATCTTCCAGCTTTCCCTGTAACTGGTCTGCATGTTCAACTTATAGGTTGAGCATTTTTCTGAGCTCGAATGTACATACGTTTCCCGGCCAAAGCGGCCGTATTTCCAGTGGGAAGAAAGGAAAAGGGTACCCCTGTGCTTGAATTCATGTTTACGTCAAAGAACAGCAGGTAGCCAAAATAATTCGGAGTGTTGTATTAAATCACCCCATGTAATCATATCGTGCTTTTGGTATGTCCGACCCCCTAAAACATTCTTAGTGTTCCACACTCGTAGCCTGGGCCAACGTACTAACGTTGGTCTGGGCGACGAGTTCAGCTGCCTCACACCTACAACTATTTGAGCACAGAAAAATACCCACAAAACATACCGTTTCTTTCAGCTCAAATAGTAGAGCAGCAGAGAGCGTAGTTCTAAGGCTATGGGTATGAATTACACTGATGTCTGAAAATAGCAATTTTCCTCCACTTTAATTACTTTCAATTTAAGGGAGGATCGCTACAGTTAAGAAACCAAAATATTGTACCACATGCTTTTCTAAGCTGAATTGTCCATCGGTGTTGTTAATTTACTTTAGCAAAAGTGACATTGACGCCCGAATAGTTGTTTGTTTGTTTTTAAAAAGACCAACAGCTCACAAAGATATTAGTGAACCGGTCGTTGGTCTAGAAGTCCGACGCGGCAGACGACTGTCAATTTTTGCCCTTCAGTCGCTTTGGCATGTTATGAATGCCGTTCCTGATAGCAACCCGCCTGTCTCCACCGATATGAGAGCATTCCGTTATCCATTTCATGGAGCAAATCAACTCGAGTGTCTCTTGAGTAAACGCTTTTTCAGCATGACTTTGGCTAACTGCAAGAAGAGTTGCATTGATATATAGTTAAGAAGTGAAACTTTTTCAAAATTGTTGTGGACTCTAGCGATAATAAGAACCATTCCAAAACGGTGGATGCCAATTTCCTACGTGCCTCTTCTTCTCTTGTTTGCTTTTTTCAGAACGGTTCACTCGCCTACAAAATAAAGATTCTTGCTGAAGCGGAACCGCGAGTTGGGCAAGTTGGTGATTGTTCATCGTGTCCCTTGTCTGTCCATATCTAATCCGTTGCGCTGTAAAATTATTCTAGGATAAAGGAGATTATTATTACAGTGATGATGACAATGATGATGAGGATGATGATGATGATGTGGCCTACGGGCGCAGCCAGGTTGGGTGATGTGGTTCGTTCAAACTTTCCGAAAGTTTTCGGGTTTGCTTTCTTATATATTGGTTGCAGCCAGGTTGGGTGAGGTGGTTCGTTCAAAATTCCCGAAAGTTTTCGGTTTTGCTTGCCTATATATTGCGTACGCTCGCAAAAAAAAAAAAACACGCAGGAGTATACAGTGTGGTTGAACCCACTCCACTCGTCAGCCCTCTTCAACAAAAATATTCCTGGCTACGCTGCTGATGCAGTCACACTCTTTACAACAGGTTAGGGTCACGTGACTCCAAACCAAACATAGAACAATAAAGAAGTACTGACTGAAATATGAAAGAAAATGTAAAAGCAGAGCGTGTGTCAACGATCCTTGCATGCTTGATCCACTGCATCGTCCAACGCCGCTTAGTCACTCGATCTGCTATCCGCACATCTGCAGCGTATTCGTGCAGACAGGAAAAACCGAGCGCCTGCAGACAAGTGGTGGCCTCTGTGAGCAGTGTTTAGAGTCCTTTGCGCAGTTCGGTAATGTGCTCGGTAGTCTCGTATTTCGCGCCACTCGCCTCAGATTGAGCGCAAAGACAAGGGTACTACCGCCGCCTTTTGACGGAATCGTGTTCTTGCGACCAAGCGCGAATTTTGAGATACGATCAAGAAATCTGCATACATGATACAAGGTGAATGTGATGCTCGTGACAGTCATAAAAAACGAGCTCCAGGGCCATTGAGTCCCGTTATTATGTGTTAGTAATAACAGAAATCCATACGTGTAATAAATTCATTGATCTGACTAGTTCATTCTTTACAGATGGTCGATTTAGTGAAGGTACGTTTGATCGGATCGATGTTTACTGGATATTTATCTACCAAATGTCCCGTTCGAATTTGTTGACAGTCAAAAACAACGCAATTTATGTAAAAACCAACTCAGAAATCTGGAGCACTTTCATTGAACATAAGCGAGGTACTTCTAGTGGGTACACACGACGGACCCTACCTTTGCACGTTAGCCCGAAAGTGATATCACGTTTATTACATGCTTAAACCTAATTATGCAACTGCAAGAACGCTAGTGCCCGCCTACAAGTTGCTATTGCAAACTAATTTCGCCATGTGAAGTCGCTAGTAGAGTTCTGGATACTCAGAGCTGTTTCTTCTAACTAAGTGGCAATGCTCATGCTTGGATTATTAACATTATTATTAATAATACTATGAATATGAATAATATTATGCGTTATTGGGAAATTTTAATTTTATGTAAACGAAAATAAAACACACACACACACACATATATATATATATATATATATATATATATATATATATATATATATATATATATATTATATATATATATATATATGTGTGTGTGTGTGTATATATATATATATATATATATATATTATATAAACCAAACTTACCACCATTTCTATGTGGCTCTTATGACTGATGCGGTTAATATATCAGCACAACCTAGTGGCCTAAAAATGTGGTCATGGAAACAGCAGGGATTTTTCTGGCAAAGGTTTATAGAATCATGACCCTTCCTTTAACCCAGTGTAGTACAAGTAGCGATACATTCTATTCGACCACATACTTTCTTTATTTTACTGATATCCTAACAGAAATGCCATTACCCCAAACACATCTTGGTCAGCTGTATTCTTAGAGAGATATGAATGCCTACGCTTGTTTATTACACACCATCGTTCACTTTTATTATTTGTACATGTCCAGCGTCACTGTGTATCAAAAAGTGATCCCTCTCCAAAAGGGGCATAGCTTCGTTTCGGCCTTCGCAACAACGGCAGAATGAATTATCAAGTGATTTGCATTCGAATCATGTAAATAACACTCTTTTATTCCATAAACAATCAAACCAACTATATCGATTACAATAATGGTCCATTAAACCATTCCTTCAAAATTCCTTTCTGGCTGTACCTGCAAATGAATGAAGGGGAACATGTAAGTGAATGTAGGTCAACAGTCATTTTAATCGAAATGAGAAAAGAGCGATATGATATGGTGAATCATATTGCCAGAAGTAAGTAGTGGGTTTGAGGCATAAGGCGGTAAAGGGTCCCTATCACGATTGTCTAATGAGTAGTTTAGGCCAGCCAGTGTGGAAGCAATCACCACCACCTGTAAAATCTGTAAATTTTCTAGCAATATTATCGGTGGAGGTGCCTGCTTTTCTTCGGCGAACCAACACGGAACGTCGGAGCGGTCGCCGCCCACATATTACTGCAACGGCTCAACAGGCCACCCTTCAACAACAACAGCAGCAACAGCTGAGGCTGCTATTGATGCCCTTTCCTTGAAATTTTTTTGTAATAATATGAAGAAAGGAGAGAGGCCATTGCACGTGGCTTTTACAGCTCATGGTTAACTGTCTCGAAAAGCTTTGCCAGCTTTTCTATTTTTGGATCAGTGGGTAAACGAAACTCCTCAGCTTACTCAGCGCTACAATAAAGCTGTTTCCATCCATCGATTCATATTCAGCGCTAGCAAAAAAGGATGCAAGAGAGATGAAATCACAATTATGGCATCGTCTTCCTTGCGTTTTTTTTTTTTTTTTTGCTGCTAATGTTGAACAGGCTTTCGATTTCCCTATACCGGCTAACGTAAAACAATCCCCTGCGTACAGGACGACAAAATTCGTCACGTTAAATTCCCCCTTACGCCTAATCTGGTTCATACGACTGCGTTCGTACGTGTTACACTGAAAGTGCAATGCACTTAGCAGCCACATTCGTCACCAAATGCCGCCGTTTTGTTTCCCGCGACCGCTAAGGAGGTGAATGCCCCCGTCTCTCGCACTGCTTCGATGGGACGTGAAAGTGTGGACAGTGTCACACTTGGATGGTCTGAACGTGATCACAACTTTTTTTCAGATGAAAGCTTTTAAAGGGGCCTGGCAGCACTTTTTCAAGTAGTCATAGAACATATTTACTAAAAGAAGTTTTTGTCTCACAAATTCACCATCGCAGAAGTTTTTTAGAATCCGTTCAGTACGAGTGGAGCTACAAATATTTGTCGCATGCTCCAATGGCATTCTCTCTTCTCTCATCCCGACGAAAGCGCTTAGAGCTAAACAGGGAGAAATGGCACGGACAAGGCACATACGTCACGTGTGCTTTGAGACCTTCAGTACTGTTTTTTCTGCCAATACGCGGCATTAATAATGTGATCGCGCGCGCCCGCATTAGGGGGCGTCCATGCAGCTAGCGTGTGTGGACAAGCCGTGGCTTCCCTAGGCGATCCCTGTAATGACCGAGCACGCCATGTTCGAATCAGCCCATGGCTGATAGAACGGCTGTAACGAGTAATTTTCAAGCTGCTTCTGCCATTTGTTGAGAGAAGAGAAAAAATCTTTGGCTGACTTTAAAAACGTATTGTGAATTTCAGGCTGTATGCTGCTGTCTAATATTCTACTCGCTTGTTCCCGGGAGCCTCTATCATTGATCGGCAGCATTTTTTGACGCTGCTCAAAAAGTGTTGCATGGCCCCTTTAAGGCTGCATACTCGCGTGCATCCGTTTCTGTCCGAGAACGGTGCTAGCTGTAGCCTCTTCCCCTCACATTCGCTCAACAATCGCGTAATTACTGAAAAGGTGTAAACAGGGAACAATAAGAAAGAAAAAAAGAAGAGGAAAACAAGGAGCTTGGCATAGTTAGTCGAATGGTTACAGGCATAAAGCGCCGCAGGCTGCTGAGATGAGTACGGCCCGAGACTAGAGGACCCACCCTCAAGCTTCTAACACTTTTTTTTCCTGTAATAAACGTTTTTCCATCCTATTCTCTGAGAACACTTTCAATTTACAATGTATCCTTGAATTTTAACACTTGTTTTTTTTTCATTTTCGTTCTGGACAATAAGACAAGCAAGCCCATGCTGTACCATGAAGCAGGTGTTTCCTTTACGCTTAAAAATTATCTATTTATATTTGAAGGTGAGTTAATATCTATTCACTTTTTTTAGAAGAAATGGTCCGTTAGCAAGCCCTCTAACAAATGAATGCAGTGTCAGATTCTGACGTACTGTTTCTGTCCATGCAGAAATGTGCCTGAACAATTGAATTAGCGTACAAACGCACTGCAAAAGGCACTACATTCTTTTAAGATTCAGGGAGGTGCTTAGCATAGCTACAAAAAAGCATGTGCGTTTTTATCAAAAGATCTCACTCGTTATATTTAAATAATATTACAGCCAAGTATTGCAATGTGGAGAAAGGCGAGTGTGAGCATGATGAAAAGACTTTTTAACCCTCCCTCGATAATTGATGTGAGCTGCCAACCTGAAATGCTTTTAAAACAACTCTATAGCTGGAACTTCGTTTCGCGCAGATTATTGTGGGCACACAATGTGCTCTTTCCGCTACCGCTAAAGAAAGGAGGTTAAACTTGTTCATTCGTAACTCCTATGTTCATTTTGCTCAAACCTCATATTACTGAACGATGCTTACGTTCATAAAGCCTTTTTTCGTGAACATTTTCTTAGATAATCGCTGAAGTGTATGCTCTTTTGATTTTCAAACTTACATAGTTTATAACTACTTTGTTATCGCACCCAATAGAGAGCCTAGCGGTTGGTCCCATACATTGACCCTTATTCCCTTTTTACTAATCGATAATCTTATCACAAACGACATAAAAAGAAGCGTGTGCAATTTCTGTGATGCAGCGGCTTCTAAAGGCGTGTTGTCACTTTAATGTGACCAATGGCGTGCGTAGGAACGATCAGGACGTGCGCCACTCTCTAGCCACTAAAGAAGGGGGGGGGGATGGAAGTCGGCTTTTCAATTCGACCTAATAAGAAAAAAGTTAACAGTGATTAACCTTCGCTCCCTCCCCGCGAAGGGAAATTCTGCGCATGCACATGGTTGTGACGGTAACGAAGAATACAGCAAGACTGTGAAATAGAGAACTCTTTAGCAGCAGAGCTCATGTCCAGAAACCTTGTGTAACTCAATGTACAAGCAATTGATGTACGCTGATTGGGGCGATAATAGCCGCCGGTCGTGCTGTAAGGTGATCGAATGCAAGGCGCGTCGGCATTTATGCACGTGGCGTTGAATAATCCAGCATCAACGTTGACGACCGCGTTATAGGTCCAAAACTCTATAGTACGGAAAGCTGGAGCAATCTTAAGCTGATGATTCTAAAATAGTTGGGAAGGTACGCAGACCTCCTGGCGTACCCTACGCAAAGCTGTGGTTAAACTCTGGCAGGCCGAATGCACAAAAAATAGACAAAGAAGCGCACGTGGTACTATTTAGGCAAATCTCTACCTACATCAGAGACACCCACTTTTTCAACACGCTTTCATTTAAGCGCTAGCTGCACCGTTGAATCCTCTCCCACCCCTATTTTTTTTTACATAGAGCTTGTTGACATTGAGAAGCATTCTTCTATAACCTTTGTGTGTCCGACGTCTCTTTAGAACTCATTCGGTCACTTCAAACCTTGTAATGTAATGTTTGGTGTCGTCAATTCTTCATTTAAACACAGACAAAAACTAATAAATACAACGTATGATATGCTTTTTACGTAGCCCCATCAAAGATAACACAACTGATGTCTTGATGGTTGTACCTTTTCTCTGCGTGACTATGACATGAAACAACACACCGTGCCTTAGCGTCTTAAGCGCAACGAATATGCATACTATTAAAAAGCCACCTGCATTTTACCCCCCCGGGGGGGGGGGGGGGGGGTACTCGAGTAAATGCTTCGCAGAGGAGGGAAAGGAGTATCGCTTGAATGTTGTGTAATTGGGTATGGTTGGGAATGCTTAAGTGTTATTTTGTCTTTATTATTCTTATTTACTGAATGAAGGAGAAGTGTTGCCTTCAACAATGGTGGGACGCTGATGCCAGGTTTTGTCCCACTACTTCTTGAAAGTACTCTTGCTTCTATCGCATCTACTCAAAGCAAGCAAAGCATCAAGTCAAGCGAAACCGAAGAAAAAACACCCTTGGCTGAATTCCGAACACGCGATCCATTGCTTACATATACTGGGTGGCCAGTGAGCGGTTGTGCTGCGCGAGCAGTAGAATTTTCACCATAAAACACTCTGTTTCTAGAGTTACTTTCAGCACTGTAGAGGCTACAGGCCCCTCAGTCAATAGGAAGGATGATTAGCCCCTTCACATGTAATCATTCACGGTATGTCATCTGCTCACTGTCTTCACAGCGTCTGCTCGCAGAATTGTCTATGCACGCTCATTATGGATAATATGACCGGTTTATTCACCAAAACATAAAATAAAATTGTTAAACAAGCAAGGACACCGTGAACTTGAACCATGGATTTGTTGCTCCACTGAAGATTGGTATAGAAACGCATGTCGGCCGGATAACTTCACTTTGGCTGTTTCTCTCGGACACTAGTGTGTTTGTGGCTCTCGTACATGGTGTAAGATAGGCACCATGCTCTAGTATGACTGCTTCTCCGTCTTCACATTCATTCGCGTATCCCGCTGCAAAGCCTCTTTTCTCTCTTTTTTGCTTCCACAAAAGGTGGATCGTACGCGCAAGAAACGCTGTGCCAGATTGCATGTCTGTTGAAGATGAAGCGCTCTTGATCTGGCGGCGCAGCCCAAGCCCTGCCTCGGCTCGTTAGGCTTAGCAGGTGCAGCTGAGCAAGCCGCATATCTCACTAATAACTACAGAACGTACCTGATGTTTTATCCTGAGAGTAAGATGAAACAAATCGATGGCTGATTTCACCATTTATTCTTTGCTGTCCGCGAAGCGGCCGTGTAGCGAGAGCACGTTTGGTTCGAAGCGAGTGGTCGCTTCTGCATGGGTGCTGCCATGTTGATTTGTAGGCGCAGTTAGCAGCGGTAACCGACACAAATGACTGAACGCGCACTAAGTAAATGCCAAGAATAAACCTATCACGTATTGATGTGGTGTAACACACACTAAACAAACGCAAATTTCCGTCAACCTTGTGAATATTAAGGCACTAAGACTATGTTTATCTGGAACTATGTTTTGCTGCGCAAGCGTTAGGCTTCGTCGGCCTAAACATAGTTCCAGATACGGTTCCAGATACGCCTAAACATAGTTCCAGATACATAGTTCCAGATACGCAAGGCCTTCGTCGGCCTTGCGAGGCCAGAGAGGGGTAGAGGAGCGACAGTTTGGAAAAGACGTGAGCATGCCGCACGAGACGTGAGCACGCGTAGTTAGGGTGTGGACGCCACCACCGACACTGGATTCACGACCTAGTGCGACTAAGAAATGTTCCGCGTTTAAAAGGACACTTCTTTAATAAGGCTATCCCTTTCAATTCCTGCCTTCTGGATGTTTGCAGTTTGGTGCGTCTTTATACACCTGGTGGGTAGTAGTAATAGTAGGAATAGTAGAAAACTTTATTATGTACATAATCCAGACAGGCTAGAACTCCAGTGCCTCGATGAATATACAGGGGGAAGAGCGAAGTCTGCCCGACAGGGTGATGTTCCTATTCCAGGGCCCCACTGGCGCGAGCCATGCGTTCAGCTCTGTGGATATGTCGCAGCTGATCCACCAGGGCTGGGCTAGACAGCAGCGCCTCCCATTCCTCCCATGTGCCATTGGATTCGTGTTCGTCGGGCTCTGCACACTCCCACGTGATGTGAAAGAGTGTTCGGGTGGCTCCACACCACGGGCATATATCTCTGTATGCCGTGGCGTAGATCAGGTGAAGAAACCGCTTTAAGAAAGTGCAGTCTAGGGCTGCATAATCGTGGAAAGGCCACTGTTGTGATGACCTCAAATCACCGAATGAAAGTCTCTTCGTGACCACATGGAGGTCTATCCACAACAAACCATTCATCAATTGTCTGCCATAGTAAACCAGTGGGTGCGGTGTTCGGTACCTGATCCGAAGGTGCCGAGTTCGATCCCGGGCGTGGCGGTTACATTTCGTAGGAGACGAAATGATAGGGGCCCGTGTACGGTGCGATGTCGATGCTCATTTAAAAACACGAAATGGTTGAACTTTCCGGAACCATTCAATAAGGCGTCTCTCAGAATTATATCGCACTTTTGGCCCGTTAGCCTCAGGCATTATAGTTGATGGATTTCCTTTAGGCTTCCTACATTTACGAAGCACCGCATCATGTAGGCTTTTTCTCTTGTAACCTTGAGATCAAAGTTTGGACCAATGGGATTTTTTATTCGCTTTACCCTTTATAGGTGTTGATTGATTGATATGTGGGGTTTAACGTCTCAAAACCAACATATGATTATGAGAGACGCCGTAGTGGAGGGCTCCGGAAATTTTGACCACCTGGGGTTCTTTAACGTGCACCCAAGTCTGAGCACACGGGCCGGCAACGTTTCCGCCTCCATCGGAAATGCAGCTGCCGCAGCCGGGATTCTCTTTATAGGTTTGAGCAGCTCGCTAAATATTACTACGTAAAGCATACCCTAGGCCTGGTGAATGTCACTTCAAGCACGGAGGACTTACGCGTCGTTGAGGGCGGTGTAAAGTTACGGCCGAATCCAGTCACCACAAGATACTTGGTCTGGAGGCTAACCTGTGGGAAGGCAACGAGTAATTCTTGAAGCGTGTGTGAAAATCGCCTCACTGAGAGAAGCCGGTAATAAACACCTAGCTCAAATTAAAATTAGGTTTGGCTATTTCACATGACTGTCATAACATTCATCTTCATCTTACCATTTCATTGTTGTTTGACCGAAATATAAAGTCAGTCATCCAAAATTTGATTATATACTTAGCAAGGAGAAGAGTACAATGAAAAAACTTTAATTTAATAATGTTAGGTCTACCCATACCTGCATTACACTACTTCTTATTGGTGAGATGAAGAATGGTACCAGAGGTGATGCTCAATTAGGGGGACATTTCAAAAGCTAGGCTAGTCTTGGTTGGGTCATAACGTAAATACGCCTTTATGCTCCATCACGTACGTCATTTTTCGGTCATTCCTACTAATTTAAAGTCTCAATATTCTCATTCATGTTTTTTTGTTTAGATTGTATATTGTCATCATAACTTCTATTAGTCAATGCTGCTTGTGCCACTTCAATTCTATTTTTTACTTTATTCGAATAAATCCTGAATGGCATTCGTCACACTCTAATGAAAATCATTTAAGTTAAAATTGATCAGTTAGTATTTTAGGACTATTTTACGACTTTGTTGTGCTAAATGTCTTCATGAAGTCCTTTATTCAAACGGGAAACAAATACCATTTTAACCTTGAAATCCTCTCTCTCAGTGCAAACTGGGGGATAACTTTTTCAGATCGTCAATGAAGATTAGCACCTACTTACCTACCCATGTCGGTGTAACTTCATGGAGCTCAAACCTGCTGTTTTTTTTTTTTCGTGTGTGTACTTTGGTCTGCATAACTTGATAAGATTGTTCTTAATATGTCATATTAAAGCCATGATAGACAGACTTAGATTTTTTTTCAATTGAATATTATGAGCAGCCTAGCAGACACCATCAGAATCTATTGCATCATGGCGAGTGGGGGCACAAGTAAAACAGCCACATTTACATGCTCATTTTATTTTTGCGCGTTATTGGCGAGCATATCTTCATGCCACGAGTGGTGTTTTAGCTGTTATTTGTTATCTAATACAAGATTCTCACAAAAAAGAGAATCGCTTTCTGTTTCATGCCTGCTTAAAAGAAGCTACGCAGTGCAGAAAAATATTGTTCGAGAAAAAGTTCTCTAACCTGTGTAAGCGTAACCACCAAATCCTGGATACGCAAAGTGTTTGTTGCTTTCAAATCCGTAACCAGAGCTGTGGCCAGCGCCGTAGCCAGAGAGGTAGGCAGGACTATAGCCAGAGACGTAACCGGAGCCGTAGCCGCCATTCTGGTGCCCCACGTAGCCGTGCCCAAGAAAAGGATGAAAAATATTTTGGAAAAAATTGAAAACACTGGTAGGGTAGCCTCCATGAAACGTGTAGTGAAATCCACTGTTTCCTGGCCAGTTGCCCTGGAAAGCCGTTGCGGTCGAGTTTGCCAAGCTCGTGGCCCCTAGTGGGCCTCCCCAGGTGAGTAAGAAGCTTTGTGTGCGCTGCGGACCAAAGGGTGATTGGTACGTTGTCTCCGTTCTTCGTAAGGTAGCGCCTCCTGGACTACCAGGAACGCCGGCTCCACCACCGACGGAAGTTGTTTGGGTGGTGCGGGTCACTCTGCCGTCACTGCTTACTTGGGTGAAGACATGTCTGCGCACGTGGGGAGATCCAAACCTAGCAAGGAGAATATCACCCACCAAGCCTCCGCCCATTGGGACACCACCGTCATTAGTGCGCACAGCGGTCTCCAGAGCGCTGTCACTGACAAAGCTGCCACCTTGAAGCACCCTTCCACTTGAAGGAGCTATGTCATTGAGGGAACTATCGATCCTCGTTATGGTCGACATCGCGTTCGTCAACGAAGCTGTAAAGACGTAAGAAAATACAGTTAGGAATAGTAAACAATTCAGTGCAGAAAATCAGCGGCTACTTAGCGATTATCCTTAGTCCTGATTCACAAATCCATTCAAACGCGTCATCACAATGCCGCAAAAGTACCAGTGTTCCTAATGTACAACTTTGTCTCAAAGGTTGTGTCTTAAAATGGTTCTTAAAAACACCACCATATCAAGAATATACGCCGATGTAAATAATAGAACATTTTTTAGCAATAACTTGCATTGGTCTTCTGTAAGTGTCTTTAAAATGACTGTTCATTTTACTACGCTCTGATTGGCTAAATCTCGTGAGCAAGTGGGCCGACACCAATAAAGAACTCCGGCTTCAATCTTTACACAACCGATTCTCGCCTATATGAACGGCCCATTTTGCAGGCATTTACACGCTACCACCTTATCACACCGTGCATCTTAGTGAGAGAACATGTATTCATGGCTGAATTTGGTGACGTGGTGATGGCAGGACCACGCAGCAGGCGTCCGCTACATGAGTGAATCAGGTGAACGAAGAAAGTCGGGAGATTTAGGCATGCATTTTGACAAAGGGCCTGTCTTTCGATGTCCCGATGAAAGACTTGTACCGGGTCGCAAGTTGCAGCAACGCCTTCTTTATTTCTTTCCATGCCAGTGCAAACGCGCCTATCTCCACGGGAGTCGTCATTACGCCTTAGATACGGGAGGGGTTGTGATGCGACGCTACATGATGGATAGCGCTGCTTATGTCACACGTGCTTTCGAGCGCTTTCCCCGGCTGATGCGATAGACGTGTTTCCCACTTCAATATAATACGTGTCTGTTTTTTTCCTCCATGTTCCTTCTCAATGGCCCGAAGCATCACCGCCACCGCCGCACAGCTCTTATTGTCAGCGCATGTAGTAGCGTTGCAGTGACACTTCCCCATTGGTTGCCCGCATAGCACCACGAATGGTGACAAGCTATTTCAGAAGACCGTATCTTTCACACAGCCAGCGTGACCGCCAATATTGTGACCACGAGAAATGCAAGATGCTGCCCCACGGACCTGTACACAACTGAATGAAAAATTCAGCAGATCCCACGTACCTGGGAATTGACGTTATGCGAAGCATGCGGAGGGAAGGCGAACGTGTACCAATTTTTTTGTTGTGTGACTCGTCGTGAAATGACGCTAAATATATGTAGAAATGTTGCACGCATGGACATATGTTGAAGAGTTGCAGATGTTTGCTGAACCAGTTGTTTGCGCTTGCGCGACGATGCAAACTGGAACATGTGTATTATCAACGCCAGAAGCTGATATGAAACGCTGATGCTCGCGGGGATGCTGGCCATAGACACTCCTACATAAATCAACTTCAGCGCATGGCAACTAACCACAATTCACTTAAACCCGACGTAACGCCTGCATTAAAAGAGTGCATGTGTAATGTTTATAAAATTGGGTACGCAGCACTGCAACCACTATTGACGTTTCACGAAGATTAACGTCTATTTGAAAAGTAGTTCCGAGACCTGGCGTAGCTCTGTGGTAAAACGCTTCATTGCCACGCAGAATGCTTGGGTTTGATTCCATCTGGGACCCTGACATTTATTCTTTTCATTCATCGTGTCGACGCTACCGATATCGGGTATTTCATAACGCTCACGCGTTAAAATTGTTCATGTGTGTTTTCGTCGTTCCTGGGTGTGCACGCCGGACTAAGTGTCAATCACCTGTGAGAGAAACCCGCATAACCGCGTGGGTATGTGCCACTGCCTGACGGGACGTGTTTGACGACGTACGTGGTGGGATTATAACATTACTGAGGTTTTGAGCAGCGCGTCATATTCGTCAAACCATCTTACCCTCCCATGCTAATTTTGGTTCACGCCAAGTTAAGGGGGTGTCCACGAGAGCCCCCAAACGTAAGCGGCTAGATTAGATAGATAGATAGATAGATAGATAGATAGATAGATAGATAGATAGATAGATAGATAGATAGATAGATAGATAGATAGATAGATAGATAGATAGATAGATAGATAGATAGATAGATAGATAGATAGATAGATAGATAGATAGATAGATAGATAGATAGATAGATAGATAGATAGATAGATAGATAGATAGATAGATAGATAGATAGATAGATAGATAGATAGATAGATAGATAGATAGATAGATAGATAGATAGATAGATAGATAGATAGATAGATAGATAGATAGATAGATAGATAGATAGATATATAGATAGATAGATAGATAGATAGATAGATAGATAGATAGATAGATAGATAGATAGATAGATAGGTACGCTCAAAGTCGCCGAAGTTCGCTAAGAAATGCTTCGCATTTAAAATACTTGATTATATGATTACAGTAGAGAAGCGCTAAATGAGGGGCTCCTTTCCCAGTGACCTCAAAGCACACGCGAAGGTTAGGCGATGGGTGAGAGCAAGAAAGGGCTAGAGGAGAGGGCGGTAAATGGCTGGATTGGGCGCATCTGGTTGGCAGATTGTTACCAGGCGCACTCGAATCATGGCGGCCACACGGCTGTGAGTGAATACGTCGTGAGCGCGGTGTAACCTAATGCCATGAAGAGTGACCATGTGATGATACAACTTTTACTTCTGCATGCGTACGTGTGTGCATTATAGTCTGCACGATAACGCTGATATACTCACGGACAACTTTTCTTGGCAATGCAGCATATCCTGCTGCTATAATGAATGTAGTCGTACAATTGTGTGCTCAGTTTCAGCGTGAGATACGAAAAATACTGTCTTCAGTTTTGGCATGTAGTTCTTCGACATAATACTCATCTCACACCTGTCAGATGTTCCTATTTCTTAGTTTATTCATTGCCACTTCCCGTTTTTGAATGCGTCAGGAAGCCGCGCTTTTCGCGTGTACTTACGCCAAGCGGCGTCTGCGTCGATATCAAATGCTGATCACGCACAGCCATCACTTGACACAGTGGTAGGGAACGAATCACGTACCGGACTATTTTGCGTAGTGCTACATGTGCAGAAGCACCGCCCTTACAGCTTTCCCTTCATCGCCAAGATAAGGTGTTTGCGAGTGTGAAAAAATCATGCCGCTCGCGGCTGTTGCGGCGTGAACAATGCTCCTCAGCAAGAGCAAACATTGTAGGCGAAGCCCATCATCGCCGCGAGCATCTGTCAATCGAACTGATTTACGCGTGAACTCGGGTACGAACTCGATGACTCTGACGAGGCCCCAGTTCAACTCGTGTCTTTCATTGTGCTGGTGAAGCGTTTCATGCAGCGGACACTAAGTAGCAGCTTCTTTGCATGTAAAAAGAAACATTTATATCAAGTCTAGTTTCCTTGGTTAGGGTGGGTGTGGCCCCTCTTCCAGGGCCCCACTCTATACAGCGGCTCGCCGGGTCTGGTCAGGGGTCACCAGTAATTTGATCAGCTTGCACTACTTCTGCAAGGCTGGCGCCATAGAGCCGCTTGTAATCGCGTAGCTTCTTCTATAGATATTCAAGTCGGTCGTCTACTCAGTTTTTGCTCGGTCTGCTTTGAAGTGAAGACCGCATCAACTGTGTCCTAACTTTTTACTATACTAGTTAGCTAGGGATTAATGAACATAACATCATACAGTCTTATTCGATTGTGAAAGTTTCAATTAAAACGACAAATATGTCGAGTGGAATTATAAAGGTGATAATTAGTATTAGGCTATCGCAAATTTGATGACGTTAGTACCGTCTAATTAGCATCTTTTTACTTACCGTACGCATGACATCACCGAATATGTTTGTATGACTCAGTTATTTGCTTTAATTAGCATGACAATGTGCATTAATTATCATGCTTGAGTTAGCACAGTCCTGGTTTTATATGGCTGCGTCAGCATGGTCTTATTAAGATGTGGCGCAAGTGTCTGTTTAGAAAAAGTAGTTTATTATTTGGAGTACATGGTACTCTACTATAGTAGAGCTGAAAGTCGTTCCTTTCTTTGGTTTTAGCCTAACATGGCTCAATTAGCTTGGTCGTAGCCTCTCCTGACCAACTAGCCAAGTATACCATCCGAGCGAATAGCCATACTCGGCGACAACTTTCTGTGACAGCACAGCCATGGCTACGAAGCCCAAGCGCGCCCATTTCTGATAATGTTTCTGCACGTAGTCCATAAACGCTATTATATACTTGGTAGAAGAAAGGAAAATATAAAAAATGGTATAAATGGTTTGTGCAAGACTGTTGGCATTGTTATTAGGAAGCTTATACCATGCAGGGTTTTCGTTCTTTGCTGTTTCTAGTTTTCTAGTTTTCCGGTGTCATTTATCCTTTTTCCCGGCCGGTAAACAACGATAGCGTCGCTCGGTTTCAGCAAGTTGACATCGAAGCTTGTAAGCGAGCGTGAGGGCGTGTTCGTTAGGTCATCTGTATTCATCGAGCAGGTAGAAACGGAAACAGCGGTACGTCGTGAAATATTTTGTTTCTCGCACATACCATCTCCTTGTGCGCGAGTGATAGCCGCCTTGAAAGCGACACCAGTGACCTGCCAGTCTTCAACGATACCAGCTGCTTAAAAACTTAACTGCAATTGCAAACTGCACGTAAAATCTATTACCCTTTTCCTAATTGCGTTGTGCACTTGGTCGGTATTTGGGCTACCTGATACGATCGGGCTGAAGATCATGTACTTTAACACCGTACTTGTCGGCGTCAACGTATAGAGAGTGCTTCTTTGTGCTTAAGAGGAGAAAATTACCAGAGCAAAGCTTCCCCTGGGCAACAGACGCGTTCATGTATATTATGCTGTTTACTGTGCAAGAGAAGCTTCATTGGCCAAGTAAAGATTGCGTTTTATCCACTTAGAATTACGTACGTCAGGCGCCCACCCATGACCAGTCGTGGCCAAGGTTTCTGCTAGCCATTGATGCCTTAGCCTCTCATAAAAAAGAAAGCACAGTTTGGCGGCAAGGGCGAAGCAATGAATGCGAGAGCAACAACTTGGAAGGTAACGCTGAGA